CTGACCCTCTCCTCTCTCATGCTGTTTCTCTCTCGCTCGCTCTCAAATAAATAAATAAAATCTTTAAAAAAAAAAAAAGAGTACAGGCCAGTTATTTTGTTGAATGTTCCTCATTTTTGGTTGGTCTGATGTTTCCTCATAATTAGATTTAAGCTATGCATTTTGGGGCAAGTATATCACATAAGCTATATTCTCAGCATTTCATGACAGGAGGCACAATGTTGACTTGTCTCATCATTGGTGATTTGAACTTTGATCACTTGGTTAAGGTGGCATCTACCAGGTTTCTCCCTTGTAAAATTACCATTTTTTCCTTTGTAATTAATTTGCATGGGAAATATCCTGTTTCTCATCAAAAATGTATTAGTGTCTAATAAAATAGAACATTAGCTCCATGAGGGCAAGTATTTTTATCTGTTTTGTTCACTAGTACACATCTAAACCAATGCCTGGTACATAATAGGAGCTCGATCAACATGTTTTTGTTGAAAGAATACTGGATATATGCTTACAATAAGGCCTGACGGCATATACACATTTTATCCTAAAGGGTGGGGGCAGAGGGTTGAGGGGAAAAGGTCTAAAAAATCCTGCAAAAGAGAAATTATCTCAAACCTGGTCTGGGACAAGGGCTTGTTTTTGTTTTGCATAATTCATGGGGAAAATGATCATTCTGGGATAATTCTCAGAAGAATGATCATTCCTAATAAGAAATTTTAACATGACTTTAATGGAATTAAGACTTGTAGAAACCAGTCGTTTCCCCACCTTGATGCCTGTCAGATATACTCTTTTTGTAGCTAGCCAAAAATGATTATGTAATCCATCTCTTTTCCACTTATAAAGTCTTTTCCCTAAGTGAAACTTGAAATTCGCCTCTTGCCAACGTTCCTTTATAGCAAGACTATAAAAAAAAAAACAAAAAACAAAACACACACACACACACACACAACAAACTTTGAGGGGGCCTGGGTGGCTCAGACGTTTAAGCACCGGATTCTTGATTTCCGCTCCGGTCATGATCTCAGGGTCCTGGGATTGAGCCCTGTCTCTGGCTCCACGCTCAGCAAGGAGTCTGCTTCGGGATTCTCTCTCTCCCTCTGCCTTTCCCCCCTGCTTGCTCTCTCTCTCTCTCTAAAATAAATAATCTAAAAACAAAACAAAACTTTGAAAACATACTCATAATTAGGCTGCCTGAAACAAACAAAAAAAAAACCTTTTTAACAGGGCCCTAATACATTAAACAGATTATATTTTTAAATTATTTAAAATAAAACGTATTTACGTTATTCCTGTGTTACTCAAAGAAGTTTGTTTTTAAAAAGAAAATGAAAGAAGAACTCATACTTGGCCATAGTCTGTTTTCATAAATTACTCTTTTCTATTTGCCGTGCGGATACGGCATATATTTTCTATATGTCATGTCTACATTAATAAATAAAAATTACGTACACATTTCCCTTCAGTATAACCAGGGCTCTTCCATGAAGCTCAAAGGCCACCAAATCAGAAATCTCCACCAGGTAGTGATGCCTTCCGGACAAAAACTCCACGAGCCATGTGGGAAACGTTGTCTCAAGTGGATTTCCCCGGAAGACCCTGGGAAACTGGGCGGGTCGCTACTTCCGCGCACGCGCAGCGGGCTATCAGGAAGTGTCCGAGTTCTCCGGCTTGCTTGGGTGTCGAGTTGCCGGTGACCATGAAGGGCTGGAGGGACCGTTGAAGAGCAAAGGCCGGCTTGTTGGTTCATTCAAAAGAAGTAAAACTGTAGGTAAACCCTCTGCACGGGACCATTTGGCTCAGAGAAAGCCGAGGAAGGGCCGGGCTCCCACTGCCCTGGGTGGAGCCCAGGTCTGGCTGGGGTGTGGCGGGTCAGTGCGTCGCTGTGTTGTAGGTGCTGTGCACTGCGTAGGGAGCCCACGCCTGGGCATTGAATTGAATCTAATCTCGTTCCAGGAGCCTTTTGACTCGCAAACGGTAGTAAACCCCCTCAAGGCGGCGGGGACGAGAACCAGTATACCCAGTGCCAGACACTGTTAAGCACTTTTCAAAGAGTACGGCATTTATTTATCATGGTTACTCTGCGCTGTAAGTGTCCTCATCGTTTTGGAGAGAGATGCGGAGTTACCTGCTTAAGATCACACAGCCAGTAGGTGGAAGCGATAGTATTCAAACGTGGAGCACTTTTACCTGAAATTTCTTTTTGTAACGTAGTACCCTGCCTAAAACAAAAAAGTTCGTTTGTATTGTTTCTGAGGAGTGAGTGCTAAGTGAATTTCAACTTGTGATCACTGCTTTTTGAGAGAACTCTTGGTGTCCCTGCACGAAGATTGTGTAATTGAACTGTGGGCTCCTCTTGCCTATTCCTGCCTGTTTCAGTTTCCAGCAGCCCTGGTTAAAATCCACACAAGGCCAACTTGGGGCCGCAGGTGATGGTGAGTTTACAGACTTGGGGCCCAACGTGAAGGTTCCAGTTGGAGTGTTGCTTGTCTGTCAACCAGTCCATCTTTTCTAGAAGAAGGAAAGGGGGAGGAGACTCTCCTGAACTGTGACTTTTTATCCCATTTTAGGAGAGACAGGAATCAACGTTTGTCCTGCTTATCTAGTGAGAGTAGGGCTTGACTCAAGGCATTTCATGTGAGTGCCTTCAAGGACTTTGTCAGTAGAGGTATCCTAAGTATTTGAGGAGAGAGGTGAGAATTACAGAAAAACAGAGAGTTGGGTGTATGTGGTCAGGCCCCACAAGAAAAGGAAACTCGCTTGGAGGAGGAGGAGGATATGATCAAGGAAAGGAAGAATCAAGAACTACTACCAAAAGAAACTGTTTCTTTGCTAAACACATTCTCTCCTCCTCTCTGCATCTGCCGCCCCTCCCTTTGTCCTTGTCTCCTTCCCTCTCCCTCCCTCTCTGGGCTCTCACAAACACACATTACCACAGATGTGTTCCCTTCATTTCCTATTAGTCCATTGGATCTTCCAGAATTAGGCTGGCTCCATACCATTTGTTGTTACATTTGCCTTTTGGGGATACTGATTCCCTCTCTCCCCTTACCTAAATGCAGAAATACTTTACAGAGTAATCAATGACTAGTAGTCCTAGAAGGTCTTTTAGGAATCTTCTAGCTTCTTCATTTTAAGAAGGAATGAAACTAGCCCAGAGATGGCCATTGAGTGCCTGCAACCTCACAGCTTGTTAATGGCTAAGTCAGGCCCAAATCCAGTCTTTAATTCCCAGAATGTTGTTCTTTTTCCTGCCTCACAGTTCCTTGGGGCCCAAGGTGCTTAGTAAGTTTCTTTAGAAAATGCATAGCAAGGAGAAAACCAACACTAAGAGAGGTTTATCCATCAATACACTCAGCAAACATTTGCTAAGTATCTGTTGTGGACTGAACACTGTTCTAGTGCTTGGTATACCACAGTCAACAAAACAGCCTTTTTTTTTTTTTTTCATGGAAGGAAATAAATGAAACCCAAATGAACAGGTACATAATCTGTGCTCTGAGGAAAAGGAGTAAGGGTGTCCAGAGTAATGGTGACAGTGAGGGAAGCTATTTTATATGAAGTGGCCAAGAAAAGCCTCACTGCTAAATGACATGGGGAATGTAGAGTGAGCTGTGCAGTATCTGGGTTTTTCCTGGAAGAACTGTCCCAGCGGAAGGAATGTACAGAGATCCTGAGTAATCAACCTCAGTATTTGGGAGGAACAGCAAGAAAGCTGAAGATCTGATCAGGGTGAGCTGTAAGAGAGTGATTGAAAGATTGAAGTAGATGAGATTAGAAGAGGTGGAACCAAGATGGTGTAGGGACTCACAGCCTTTGTATCTTTGTAGATTGTATATGTATAGCTGTTTTTTTTTATGTGTGTATGTATATATGTACATATATCTTTGAAAAAGTAATGCATTATAAAAAATTTTGAAAGTACAAGTATAAAAGTTACATATGACCCTGCTATCTCTTTACAACCCTAAATAATAGTTATTTACATTTTGATATGACTGCCAAGATTGTGTGTGTCTGTGTCTGTGTGCATATTTTTTTAAATATGATATATCTCACCAAATACTTTTTTTAAAGGTTTTATTTATTTATTTGTCAGAGAGAGAGCATAAGCAGGGGCAGCAGCAGGCAGAGGGAGAAGCAGGCTCCCTACCGAGCAAGTAACCCGATGTGGGACTCGATCCCAGGACCCCAGGATCATGACCTGAGCCGAAGGTAGACACTTAACCTACTGAACCACCGAGGTGTCCCTGTGTGTATATTTTTTTAAAAGCACAGGGAAGGATCATATTATGTATTTTAATGTACTTTTTTCACCTACAAATATAAATGGAACCTCTTCTAGCAATATCTTCCTATAGCATTTTTTAAAAATCAACACCATATTAATGGATATTTAGGCTGTTGTCAGTGCTTTCATAGTATAAGCAATGATGTGAAAACATTACTTTTTATCTCTCCTTTGTTTTTAAAAATAATTACAGTTTTACTAAGTGCTTACCATGTGCCATATATTGTTCTGAATGCTTTACATGTATTAACTTAGTTAATCTTCACAAAATCCTATGACATATGTACTATTATTACCAGCATTTTGCAGATAGGAAAAGTGAGCTACAGAGTGGTTAAGGTAATTCTGTGAGGGTCACACTGCCAGTAGGTAGGGTAGCTGAATTTGAACCCAGGCTGCCTGGCTCCCCAGCCCAGGGTTTAATCTTTGCATCCATACCTTTTTATTTCTTTAGGATTAATTTCTGGGAGAAAAGAAATCACCAGATAAGAAATGAACAGTAAATTATAATAGATCAATAGGGAAGAAATGTGTACATCTACCCAAAAGAGAACATCCTTGTCCAAGTTTCCTACTATCATATCAGAATTAAAAGTGGACAAGTTACTGCTTCCAGAATGTGGACTTCCTGACTTGCAAGTAGCCTTTTCTGTAGCTGGCATATGAGTACTTATTTCTAGGCTGGAAAGGCAGAGAAATCCCCGAAGTCTTGTTTTCATAGATCTGTGTCCTTTTCCATGAGCATCAGAAAATGACCAGTTTCCAGGTGGGACATTCATCCATCCATCCATCTGTCCATCCAATTATTCATTCAAATTTCACTTTGTTTTCTGGTGGATTTGCAGGGACTTATAAGAATCCATATACTGACATGGAAAAGTATTACTATATAAGAAACCGGACAAATATAGACAGACATTTCTTTTTTTTTTTTTTAAAGATTTTATTTATTT